TGTACACAGTAATGCACTGAACACTGCAATGCATTGTACACTAACACACTGGACACCGCAATGCACTGTACATTGTAATGCAGTGGACACCGCAATGCAGTGTACTCTGTAATGCACTGGGACACCACAGTGCATTGTACACTAACACACTGGACACCACAATGCACTGTAAACTAACACACTGGGCACCGCAATGCACTGGACACTGTAACGCACTGGGCACCGCAATGCACTGTACACTGTAACACAATGGACACCGCAATGCATTGTACACTAACACACTGGACACTGCAATGCTCTGTACTCTGTAACACACTGGACACCGCAATGCATTGTACACTGTAACGCACTGGACACCACAATGCACTGTACACTGTAATGCACTGGACACTGTAACACACTGGACTCCGCAATACACTGTACACTGTAATGCACTGTACACTGTAACACACTGGACACCACAATACACTGGACACTAATACACTGGACACCACAATGCACTGTACACCGTAACACACTGGACATCGCAATGCACTGTACACCGTAACACACTGGACATCACAATGCACTGTACACCGTAACACACTGGACACCGCAATGCATTTTACACTAACACATTGTACACCGCAACGCACTGTACACAGTAACGCACTGGACACCGCAATGTACTGTACACCGTAACGCACTGGACACCACAATGCACTGTACACCGTAACGCACTGGACACTGCAATGCACTGTACACAGTAACGCACTGGACACGCAATGCATTGTACACTAACACACTGGACACTGCAATGCTCTGTACTCTGTAACACACTGGACACCGCAATGCATTGTACACTGTAACGCACTGGACACCACAATGCACTGTACACTGTAATGCACTGGACACTGTAACACACTGGACTCCGCAATGCACTGTACACTGTAATGCACTGGACACTGTAACACACTGGACTCCGCAATGCACTGTACACTGTAATGCACTGTACACTAACACACTGGACACCACAATACACTGGACACTAATACACTGGACATCACAATACACTGTACCTGGTGTGCTCTCCTCCTCTCCTGTTGCTCCTCTGGCTGCAGCAGGTGAAATCAGGGCTTTCAGGCTACAGCTTGCGCATGGCCGAGGACCCAGCAAGCATCCTAGCTATTTGCTGGCCGGCGCCAGTTTTTTTTTTTTTTTTTCGGTTGGCCCGGCAGGCCGGATAAATGTCTTTGGTGGGCCCCTGGTCTATACTAACATAAAGGAACACTAATTTGACTATGAACAAAAGAAAACTAAATATGAACATCATTAACCAGTAACACCAGGGAACACCTCAATGTAGTCAACTTCTAAATCATTCACACTGCTATTGGACTTACACCTTTAAAAATTATACCCAGTGACAGGCGGAGGACATTCTACACCACCATCCCCACAGGTCCATTCACATTATGTGTGCTAGCAATTTGCAGTACCATTTATTTTGAATGGCACCACGACACACAGAAGAAACTCTACTCCAATACAAAGAGAAAAAAACAACCAACCAACCGTGTACCTCTAGTAACTACATACAACCCAGCACTAGAAGGAATAGGAAAAATAATCAAAAATTTACAACCCATCATAACAGAGGATGGAACTCTAAAAGAAATATTTCTGCAACCCCCAATACTGGCTTTTAGACAACCCCCCCCGACCCTCAGAAATAAAACTAATAAGTAGGAAACTTCTTCTGATTATGATGTCACAAGTAATGGAAACAAACCCTGCAATAAAACACTGCAAACTGTGCAACCAAATTGATCCATCAAAAAGTGTCACACACTCAAAAGGGATCTTCAATATCACCCGATCATACAGCTGCACCTCCAGTAATGTTGTGTACCTTATCCAGTACAGAAAATGCAGCAAGGGATCTTACGAAGGCAAAACAGGACAGAAGTTGTTAACAAGGATGAATTTGCACAGACATACCATCAAAGAACATAAAGAAGATGACTTCTTCACACCTGTGGGACACCATTTTCGCACAACCGGACCACACTATGGAAGACCTCAATATCTTAGTTCTCAAAGGAAATTTCAAAACTATCCAGGAAAGGAAAACTTTTGAACTAAGAATGATATTTCTATTTGATACAAAAGATGACGGCCTTAATTTGGACATGGGATTCCTCGCTCATTATCCAACAGTTTTACGACCCCCTCTGTGAGTGTTGTCCAAACCATCCAAACTCAACCCCCCCCCCCCCCCCACCAGTCTTTGCTTTTGCTCTGTCTTATCTCTAGTCTAATCCTAGTTTTATAACCATTGCTGTGTACATTTGTTTGTGTATGTTTTCTTCTGGTTTTTTTCCCCCTCAGAGATTGTTTCTTTTAACATTCTGCTAAAATGTCAGGGTCTTGTCCACGGCAGGAATTCTGGAAGATCTGGCATTTCTGCCAATACTCTACATGGCCGCTGAAGGACACATCAGCCTCAGTCTGGTGCCAGACGGCCTTTATAAGGAGGCTCATCACTTCTTCTGGTTGCTGGATGATCTCTAGATCCCGTGCCCTGTTCCTGTTTCCTGTGATTCTGACTTGTGATTTCCTGTTACCCCCATCGGCTTGCTCCTGGACATGTCTACTCTGATTTACCCCTGCTCTGACCTCGGCTTGGCTTACGGATACTCTCTCTCTCTCTCCTCTGTGAATGACCTCGGATTTCCCATCTGACTACTTCCGCTCTGATTCCCACCTGGTGCCTGACCTCGGCTTGCACCGACTAGCCAGTAAACATCCAAATCCTGGATACCACGCACAGGCACCTCCTGTCTGCAGACCTATCTCCGTGCACCAGCTGTGCGTCTGAGTGGACCACCAACCAGCACTCCTACAGGTGACCTGTGCAACTTTGGGCCAGACTCCCGCTGTCCCACTCTCAGGGGAGTCCGGAACTTAGCCGCAAGGGAAGCCCTCTCTCCATTGGCCTCCATCACCAGGTACGTGATATAAAACTTTGTGAAGTAGTACTGCTTGGACCCTGAAGAAGTGGACATACCCTGAAAGCTTGTCCTGAAAATGGTATGTTAGTGCAAATAAAAAAAGTATCACGGACAGTACTCAATTATTTCTGTCGCAAGTGCACTAATACGGCTACAATCACCAGAGCACCATCTAAAATACTGAATGGCAGATTCTTCTAGATCAACCTTTCTCAAACTTTTGGCACGGGGAAACCCTTGAAATAACCTTCCAGGCTAATACTTAGTATATCTACAGCTCACGGTATATCAGTGTGATGGGGACTGTGAATAATTATCCTTATATTTATGGTGATTGAGAAGAATTCTCTCTTACAGTTAGCTAAAGAAATTGTTGGTGTTAGAAGCTTTGTAAGTTGTTTGTTACTCAATTAACTCCTAGCAACCCCTAGAGGAACCCTAGGGTTCCATGGCAGACTGATTGAAAAAGGCTGGCCTAGTAGGTGAAATTGAATTTGTAGCTGAAAGGAACAGAACTGATCTACTAAAACAAATGGTTGAGGATTCCACATTCCAATCAATGGGTGAGTGTGCCTTTTTTACAGGGTTTTTCTTCACAATATAGCATATTAAAAAAGATCATAAATGGGCATTTACCCATTCTGAAAAAAGATGTCTTGGGTAATTCATTGTCAGTGATAACAGTAATGCACCCTTTCCATGGAATTTACTAGCGCCTAAAGAAATTCAGAGGGTTCCCAGGTTACTTTGTTTCAGAGTAAAGGGTTTTACACTTGTAAATTATGTAAAATGTGCTCACTGAAAAAGAACATTAAGCGTAAAAAAAACATGTTTGCTTTACAAAGTCTATGGATAGATTTTAATATGAATGTATTTGTTTCTTGACATACTACATGTGTATCTCCTGCAGTGTTGGTGTGGGGCAGACCATGTAGGCACTGCAGGTTTGTATTGGGGAGCAAATTAATATAGAACATATCTTGAAACATACAGTATTTCTTTCATTTTTTTTAATGTGCATTACAAGGACCACACAGGTTTAAAATGTAATGGGATAGTTAGAATGGGGATCAGCAGATGTGGCTGCAACAAAACCAGAACGGTCTCTACACTGGGAACAAGGTGGATTTATCAGTGTGGTAGCTTGATGCCAGGGGGATTTAATAGCGATGTGTACATTAATTGTTTAACTGGCAGTAGTGAACAAAAAGACTGCTATATGTATTGTATGTTTGTTCATTTCTGAGCTTTTATTGAGGGTTGGGAAGTTGTAGTTCATGTGTATGCTTTTTAATATGTGGGGTTTTTTTTGGTTTTTTTTTTTATAATTGATATGTTTGTGGTGATTCCACTTTTAGCAGTAATTTTAAAATGGGAGATTCATAAATCAGTAGCCTATCATCATGCTGAATAGGAAGCATTATGTTTTACAATGAGTGTGGTAAATGTAAATGAATGAGACACATTACCAGCCTCTGATAATGGCCTAATGGCTAAAATGCTTTAGGCGGAGTCAACTACTTTGACGTCAAATGCTATTCATCATTATTATACAGTATTTATATAGCGCCAAAGGGTATGCTCAGCGCTGTACAGTAGCAAGGGGGACAGAACATGAGACAAGACAGTAACAATACAATACACGAGGGGTTCGAGGGCCCTGCTCTTTCGATTCATGCTGACAGATTACTATTGAGAAAGGTCACATTTCTAAATTTAAAAAAATTATATAACAGACACACATTCTGGAACGTTCACCATGTGTAGGTGAGCAACCTAGGGGATGCATACACATTGTCTACAACCCTGCTAGCCATTGCTTCACAATATATCTGTATATAACACTGTACATTCCCAATAAGCTGAACCTACTTTCCACTTTTTGCTCCAACCTTAGCATTGAAACTGACTTGTATTTTGACAGTAACTGCACCCTAATGCCAATTCTATCATCATCATAACAAGGCAAACAACAAGACCAAAAAGCATACCATCTTCTGCACAGTGTTAAAGACTCACCTTCTGGAAGGCATCATAGGAGGGCGCAGAGTATCCGAGGAATCCATCAGGAGTGAGAATACTCTCGGTGTAATATTTGTAGCTACGCAAGTGATTGCAGGCCACCAGATCGCTGGTTACTGAGGATGAACAATGGCACAACATGTAATACTGCATTATCTGTGCCTATAACACATACAAAGAAGTTCTCTATATAACTTTCTAGTATAATATTATCCAGTAATTACTTGCCAGCAAAAGGGTCACTAGTGAAGGCAAAGGAACTATTGACCACCACTCCCCAGGACCAGCACTTTCTCTGATCGTTAGTACACAGCTTTCATCCAAAATTAATTAAACACGACAAGCACGAAAATTTTTCTCATACAACACAAGTACAATTTTCATTTAATCAGTACAGTTTTTGTCCAAAAATACAATACAAATACATTACAATACATGATATCACTTCCAAGTTTTTATTCTGTCCTACGAGAATTTTTGTAACTTTAGTAACCTTTTCATTATCGATATGAGACTAACATGCAAAAAAAAACCTGATCATTTGTCCAATATTCTCATCGTGTGTACAGTGCTTAAGAGTGTTATGCAACACAAGTAAGGGTCATGCTGTGCTGTTGCTAACTCTGGGACTAGGTATTCCCATGCTATGTCATATGATTTGTGGTCAGCTTGTTGTAACATGAATGTCCAGAGGAAGGGAGAGCTGTATAGAGTACATAACTGCTGTGATGTGTGTGTATGGAAAGGACACCATGGGATAGATTTACTAAAACTGGAGTACTCAGAATCTGGGGCATTGTAGATATACAGCTTCTAACTTTGGCAATAAAAACTGGAAGCTAATTGGTTTCTATGCAGAGTTGCACCAGATTTTGCACTCTCCTGTTTTAGTAAATATCCCTCTATATGTACAGCTGCTGTTGAGTGTGCAGACTGTATACACCATCAGGCCAAATGTCTGTGAACACCTAACCATCCCACCTGTATGACCTTGACCTTTTTGAGCTGGCCTATGTACTGTATACAGTATATGATGTAGGCACTACTACTTTACCTAACGTACAAATAATTACCATCCTTAATATCATCAAGGTTTGGGGTTTTAAAGATCGCAGTTTTTGTACATCCCGGCATTTGTTCTCCTCCGTTCGGGTAGAAGTCCAGGTGGCCAACAGTATGGCTTATTCCATATCCTCCCGTAGCTGAAAAAAAAATCATATTAGGATCATATTTCTAACCAACCATTTTTTATCATCAGTTCCTTACAGTTTAGATGCTATTCATTGGTTAGCTGTATGGTACAGGATAGTTGCCAAAGAAACTAATCAGATTATAACTAATCTAATGGCTATACTTTGTGTATTAAATGTATATATTTTGAGCTGGATGCCTACAAGCAGAGAGCAGAATTGAATTTGTACTCACAGTTAGAACAGCTGGAATTGATTTTTTTTTTTAGGGACAGTGGCACAACAGAAGATGCGTGCCCTTCTGTTCATGTCTGCTAAATGTTTTTCAAAGACCTGCATTCTGATTCGAATGAACTGATCCTTGCTAAAGCTACAGCTTAGAAAATAAACCTAGTCTATCCTCAGGGTCCAAGTCTGCTAATGGTATTTTTTTTTTTTATAGTTATGATAGTCAGGAAAGACAGAAAAATAATTGTGCAAACCTCTATCTGCAGCTTAGGATAAAGGCAACCAAAATGAGAACCAGATCAAGCTTCTATTATTCTATTCATTATTAGAAAAAGGGCATTTAATTCAGTTTGAAGAGGACCATAAAAGCTCTCCATGACAAGACAGAAGACTTGATAAGCTCCATTGTATGTTCTTGGGTTGTGTAGATAAACCAGATCACTTGGAAGGTCCCAGAGAAACTAGAGGAGGACCTACAAACCCAATGAAAACAGATGCAAACCCCTTGATAGCAGATGAGTAAGGCTGTGCATTATGTTGGCTCTGTAACAATGAAAAATAGTCACCAAGATTGAGCACCACTGGACTTGAATCAGTATGGATGACGTCAACGAACAGAGCATCTGACGGATCAAGTCTGACCTCAAATGGAGTGTCCTGGAAATATGGCTGAGCCGGGTCCAATCCTGTATAAGAAATCAATAGATATCCTTTTCAAGGAAGTTGACTCTACACAAAATGTTTCTTTAGTTTCTAACAGTAGAGGGGCCTGGAAAATACATAATAGTGCTGACAACTTTAATGAGAAAGGTGAGTTGCAGTGTGATATAATGTACAAGGGGTCTCAAAAAGGTTTTTGCATTTTTATACACACACACATACATATATAGTATATATATGTATAAAATAGTGCGGAAACCTTTTGAAGAACCCTCGTAATATACTGCAGGACACCACAATGCACTGATGTAAATGGTCAATGTGTTGTGGAATGCTGCCTTTTGAAAAATAGAGAAGGACCCATTTTTTGTGCATTGAGGAGTGTTCATAGCCATTTAAAATGAATAGGTTGCCCAACACGTGATGTAGATGGGCTTTATATTATTATTAGTATTTTTTTAAAGGAAGAGAACTACAATTAACAACTCAACAGCAGTCTCACCAGTTATTCTACCAATCCCAGGGTGCCTCTTCCCGGCCTCTCCCGCAGTATGTGACCCCAGACTGTGCCCAATAAGATGAACATTCGATGGCGAATAGGTAAAAATGTTCTTGAAAAGAAAAGAAAAAACTTAGATATAAGAGTCTATACAAAAACAAAAGCCTAATCAAAAACAGTATACATTGTATGTGTGTATGACACTGTTTTATTTGTCCCTGTTCATATTTTGTGTTCTGGCCTTTCGAACAATGGAAATAGAGCAGATTCATGATCATGGTTCATTTGTCCAGTCTAGTACTGTGGTATATAATATCGCACACTTGCCGAAGAGAAAAGGATTTGAATGTAGAAATGTCAGCATTTTTTTGAGAGTGTATAGCCCCTTGAGCTATAGAAAGAAGGAGCTCTTGACTGCTGGAATCTTTGTAGACCTTAAGTTTAGATTCACCCAACGTTGTAACCCCTGATTGGTCTTCAGAATGGATGATAGGATATGAATAGTACTTTATAATCTAATTCTAAAGGCAGGTGCTTCCTATTAAGGATCCAGTGCCCACAGGACAAACTCCCACTCTCCATTTCTTTCTCTCTTTTCTGTCACATCTTTATTGGTGGGCTGTTACCAAATTGGACATGGTTAATCCAATGGTCATCCTCAGAGTATGGTTAGGAGAGGTCTTTATGCTTACAAATTGGTGGTCACAGCTCAGCTAAGCTTGGCATCTGCTTGGCATCTGTAGGATTGGCATCTGTTTAATGTAGAACTCCAGTTATTTTTTTTTTCACCATGCAGTTTGGCTGTGCCCCCACTGCATTGTTCGGCTGCTTGTTTTTTTCTAGGGGTGAGGACTAAGCTCATAATCACCTGACCCGCTGATCCTACAGAAAACCACATTCCCCAATGGTCCAGACTGTTCCTGTGTGTGGATTGCTACTTCTGAGATATTTATGAAAATTGTACAACATTGTTGTTTTTACTGTTATTTTATCCAAAATATCATTATAATAGACCTAAGGCTGGGTTCACATTTTTCGACTCCAAAGTTGTGCAATTTTCAGTGCAACTTTGAAGTGCAACTTTCATGCGACTTTTACACTCTGTGGCACTCAAGTCAAAAGAAAGTCACATCAAAGTAGCGCAGGAACCTTTGCTAAAGTCACGGTGACTTCAGAAGTAGTAATTGGAACAGCTGTCATAGAAAAGCATAACATTTCACATGTCATTGACTTTGGGTGTCGCAAGTCAGATCCAAAGTCACAGGCGTGTGAACCGAGCCTAAATTTACAGGCAAAAAACAGTATTAATATTAAAAAAAATAAAATTATTTAATGTGTATGTTAGGGCAATAAATATAGAGTACATCAATGCAATACATGCACATTTCCCCATATTTTATCTCCTCAAAGACCCTGCAAGTACAGAAAACTACATGCTGATCTGTCAGAAATATAAGAGTGAATGGTGTCAGCCCTGTCCATGTCCTTTTGCTAAACTACTGAAAACTTTCTCTATCCTAGAGCGGAATATTTAGTCTGTAGTCCCATACTAACTAAGAGGGTTAAATTCCAACATCCCCCCTTGAGATAACACAGGAAGTGTGCCTTGGGTGCTGTATTTCTGGCAGGATCAACAGGTATGTTTTTTTACACTTATTGAACAGATATAACAGAACACTTTCTATGGTATATTTAAAAATTCAAAAGATAGCAAGTAGGGAGTTTTTTTTTTTTTATGTAGGGGGTTACATACACTTTAAGTATAAACTTTGGTATCAAATAAAAATAGAACAAGTCTTCTACCTCAAGAGTTTTAACGAAATAGGCCACTTCAGCCCCTACAACACGGATATTATTTGAGGCCTGAGTGTAGAGGGCCAGGGAGCCACCACGCCAATCCACACAGAAACAGTTCGCGGCCTCCACTTGTAGGATGGCCTGGAATCAGAGAGGTTATGGATTATATATAGTGGATCAATTATATACAGTATATTACTGATAGGTTATATGATCAAATACACTCAATGTGGGGGTACTACTACATATTTGTGAATCTTTATATGCAGAAATGTAAACACTAGCTGACATACAAGACTCCATTATTACTTGAACACCAAACCATAGCACCAAACCATAGAACTGAGTGGCCTATGTATAAAACATTTGCTGGACAGATATCTTAACCATTTGCACATGCTCCACAAAAGTTTTGTTGTATATTTTGTAATATGATTATCTGCTATGATCTTCAGCTCCATCCAGTGGCCAATATGCAGTATTTTCCTGAAATACCTCGATTAAAAAAATACCGTATTATGGCCACTAGATGGAGATGGTGATCATAGGTGATAGGTGATAATCATATTAAATATAGTATGGCAAACATTCATGGTGCCTGTGCAAATGGTTGACTTCCGTCCAGCAAATGTTTAAATCCCTTTAAACCTTTTTAGTGTTCAAAATATTTTAATACTGAAGAATAGTTATGGGCCAAACACCCCCCAGTTCCGAACCTACAGAATGATTGACCGCAAATCAAAACATGAACAATATACTGAGTGGCATCCTACCACATCTGAGTATGTGGTAAGATACCACTCAGTTACTAAAATATGGCATGAGTTATATTATTAGGTCACGCGGTATTTTAGTAGTGAAACATTCATTCATATTTCAGCTGTCAGTGGGGTTCCCTGCTGACAGCTGAATGTAAAAAGAATTGTCGGCATTGCCCCGCAATTACATTATTTTTTTTTTAAAACAGTGTTGGGTCCCTCCTCCCATCCACACCAAGCCCTTCGGGTCTGGCATGGATTTTGAGGGGGAGCCCCCACACTAAAATTAAAAAAAAAATGTTGTGGGGGTCCCTCCTCAAAATCCATACAAGACCCTTATCAGCAGCTCAGGGAAGGGGGGGGGGCAAGTGAGCGCCCCCACTCCTGAACCATACCAGGCCACATGCCCTCAACATGGGGGTGTTCTTGGAGGCTAGATGGCCCCCCAAGGCATGTTGACGGGGACAAGGCCTCTTCCCCACAACCGTGGCCTATGGTGTGTGGGTCTGTGGGTGAGGATCTTATAATGGACTAAATGCAATTTCTCTTGCGCTCCGGGACCCAGGCCGGTGGTGAGTAGATCAAATCCCAACAAAACAACCACCGGGGCATACAAGGTCGTGCAGCTCCAAACCAAGGCTGGGGAAGCCCGAACAGAACTGTGAAGTAAAACAAGAAGAAGCGCACCAACCTTGCGCATTACCTCAGTAACCAAATTTATTTAGTAAAAGAATGGTACTCACAAACAGCGAATAAAAACAGGCATGTAAGTCCTCCCAGGGACTTCAAAGGCAAGAGGCCTGAGTCAGCTCTGAGGAAGAAGGCATGACCTTCGAAACGCGTCAGACGTACTGAGTGTCCACCCCCATGATGGGATTCGCGCTGGCCTCTTGTCTTTGAAGTCCCTGGGAGGACTTACATGCCTGTTTTTATTCGCTGTTTGTGAGTACCATTCTTTTACTAAATAAATTTGGTTACTGAGGTAATGCGCAAGGTTGGTGCGCTTCTTCTTGTTTTACTTCACAGGTGAGGATCTTATCCCAGATCTGCCCCCCCCCCCCCCCCACGTTAATGAGGATGCGGTACATGATACTGCTTTGACAAGTCCTTTATTCAAAATAAAAATAAAAAAAATGTCCCCTATAGTAGATCCAACAATCCAACGAAGTAGCTACCTGAAAAATGAAAACAAAAAACCTGCTCCGCTTGCGACGCTGGCTCCCACCATCTGAAAGCTATGCCCCAATGACAGTTTTTAAATACTGTCATGATGTCACAAGGGGGCGGGGTTTACAAGGAATGTTGTGATAGCAATAAAGCTAAACACAAAAAAAGAAAGAGACAGAGTAAAAATAGATTAAGATAAATAATAATAATAAACAAATTAAGTACCTGTTTGTAACATTGTGTAATACTGTTACTGTATCACATTTTAAGCAATATCTCAGAATACAAGCGATTATTAGAACCGGCCATTGGAACATCTTTAGCACACAATCACTGAAATAAATCTGCATTGTCCACTGTTTCTCACATATAATTCTATCTCTGGCAGGAGTGTACCTTGCAGATGTTAGCCAGCCATTCATTCTCGCCACTGTCAGTAAATCCATGAATGACAAAATGCGTTTTTTTTATCCTTCTGGAAATAGGATGCTTTGATGGTGTCAGGTTTAATAGCACTGATCTCCTGAGCAGAAAAATGGAAATAAGAATTAAAAAAATTTAGTTTCTGACTTTTCAATCTGGTTTTGTATGTCACTGGAAATGTATTAAGGCCTTACGCATTATTAAGAAAAGGACAAAAAAATATGGTTTCTAAAAATAAATTTTTGTTACCAGGTATATGAAACATGAAACTATGATTTATTTTTATTTCAAATTTACCTATTTAAAAGCCATCAGGGGGAGCTCTAGGTTCCTTTGATACATTTACAAGGCTATTACTAATTGCTTTGCTGGAAAAAAAAAATGTTTAGAGAGCTCAATAGGTGAAGCTAAAATACAGACTAAACTGAATTATTCAGAGACTCCCCTCCTGCCTCCCTTCTACAGGTCTGCTTTCTATGTCTTTACATTGACCTTTTATTAAAGAAAAGCAATCTGAAAAAATACAGTAGACGTTTACACCAGAAATTTTCATTTTGTTTTAGCTGTATTCATTCATTGAAGAATTTCAGTTCGCCATATTTGTTGTTGTGTAGAATCGATTCGTTATCGGAATTTGTTTTGTATCTTTTCCATTCGTTGCGCATATTTGTTGGTTCAGGTAGATAAAAAAAATTGTTCAGTTTTTCTGGAAGATTGCCATGTATTCGATATATTATAGAATTGAACGGATTCAAATCAGAAGGATTTGATATTTTCAGATGCTAGTCCTACTCACCAAGAGAAAAGGCATGAGCTGATTGGACAATATTGACTGGCGTCGTGTGCATCTGAATTAACAAATTCAGGATCTCTGATTCTGAGTCATCAAATGCATTCAAAAATTTAATTAATTCCCCATGGGCTTGAACTGCTATCATGTGCTACATGTGACGTCATCCGAATGAAACAAATGCATTCATTCATTTTGCTAAAACTTTTATTCTGATTCGTTTACATTCATTACTATGTCCATTTGTAGATTTGTATACATCCGAATCTCCAAAAATGAAATTTGTGTCTGAAAAAAAATGAATTGTAATGAAACGAAACGCACATATTTACGAGACATCTACTTCTCTGCACTCTTAAAAAACATAGTCTATAGTATGGGACAGAGACATGACCTCAACTCAACTGCACAGATATGTGAGACAACAGCGCTTAGAGCTGGGACTGTAAATGTACCTCCTGAGATATAAAACAAGAACAGATATCAGTACATAAAAGCAGTATCACATATTCAGATCATAAAAAACTAATAAAATGAATAATGTCGCTTGAACTATAACCATATAACTGTTCAAAAGTTCCTAGTCTTAAATGGCCGACGCGTTTCGTCAGGGCCTTGGATCTCATTTGTACAAAAACTTGTGTTCACATATGCGAAAATGCGTGTCCAACGACCTGTCGGGCCATGGGGAGTGGGGGGAGGGCTTAAAATCAGCAACACTTGAAAAGGACTACCGTATATACTCGAGTATAAGCCGACCCGAATATAAGCCGAGGTACCTAATTTTACCACAAAAAACTGGGAAAAACTATTGACTTGAGTATAAACCGAGGGGGGGAGGAATAGTGCCCCATCGTTGGTGTCAGTGGGGGGAGGAATAGTGCCCCATCGTTGGTGTCAGTGGGGGGAGGAATAGTGCCCCATCATTGGTGTCAGTGGAATAGTGCCCCATCGTTGGTGTCAGTGGGGGGAGGAATAGTGCCCCATCATTGGTGTCAGTGGAATAGTGCCCCCATCGTTGGTGTCAGTGGGGGGAGGAATAGTGCCCCATCGTTGGTGTCAGTGGGGGGAGGAATAGTGCCCCATTGTTGGTGACCCCTGCTCCAGCCTGGGCTCGCTCGCTCCCTCCCTCTCCCATGGTACACACTTACCGGTCAGATGTCTTCCTTCTCCGGCCGCTCTCCTCCTCTTCACTCGCTCGATCTTCGCGGTGCCGCTCGGCTCCTCCTCTCCAAACTCCACCTCCTAGCCGGTGATTGGGCGCCTGTGTGCCTCTCCTGAGCTACAGTTCCGGCGGCCAATCACCGGCGAGGATTGATCCCGGGGGTGTGTCCAGATGACAGGGACGGCCTGTCATCTGCAGATGTTGACTCGAGTATAAGCCGAGGGGGCCGTTTTTCAGCACAAAAAATGTGCTGAAAAACTCGGCTTATACTCGAGTATATACGGTACTCAAATACAACATCCTACAACCCAATGGATTTAAAATATAGATATAGCGTCACTAGCAACACATCTCCATTTTGCTATTGGATTTGAGACACCAGCCATATATTGTCTATAAAGATTGCTTGGTATTCAAAAAAAAGGTGAATCTAGGATCTCAGTCCAATTATTACACCACCAACACCCATAGTGCACATGGTCAAAATTGCAACAGGGTCTTTTGAACAGTTATATGGTTATATTCCAAGCGACATTATTTGTTTTATTCATTTTTTATGATGTGTATTTGTGATACTAATATATGTATACTTTTATGTACTGATATCTGCTCTTGTTTTATACCTCGGGAGGTACATTTACAGTCCCAACTCTAAGTGCTGTTGTCTTACATAAATATCGAGGGACGGTAACTCCAGAGGGAATATTAACCCTATACCCATCCTCCACACATGCTTTTTGATTTCAACTGCACAGATGTGGGAGGAATCGGAGAGCCAATCCTTGGGTTAGATATAGGGGAAGTGCCATTATTGGGGAAGTTGGAGGGTCAGTGGTCACCTGAAGACCTCCGGGCCTTCATAGAACTCAGGGGAACTCTGACACCTGACACTCAAGTTAAAGAGTACAGCTCATGCAAATTAAATAAAGTCAAGTAAGAGGTAATGTAAACTTTTATAAGGTCATACGTAGAGAGAGATAGCTTATATGGAAGGTGTGAGGGGTCGTCCGGCAGGTATATTATACTTAAAGGGAACGTACCTGATAGGTGTTGAGGTTATTTCTGGTGTACAGCAGGAATCGAGTATTAATCTTCTCCGGAGACCAGGGTAAATGGGGGATGGGTCTCTGCAGAGTCAAAGCAAAGGGCTTGTCATCCGAAAAGCAGCCGAGACGATCGTAGCATACCTCACCTGATAGGAATATGAAACATACATGCCTTGTACTGCATAGTCTATATAAACATATACAACAAATTACAAAACAAAATCATATTTGATGTATTTATTATTTGCTGATCAAGTTTTAAAAGATTTACTTATTCACAAAACACCATGGGAATCTTCCGGAAGTCACACATCCCCCCATCCCCCCCCCCCCCCCACCCCCTCCCTCCCTTGGTCTCTCTTAATCTTCCCCTCCTCTTTTCTGCTCACTCACTTCTGCTTTCCTCTTTTCGCCTTACATGGAACCTTCATTGGTTTTTGGGAGTAATGCTCCCTATGTAGAGCTTAACCATGTCATATCTCCCTTTGTGTTACATTATTCCCTACTGTTTCTCCATGGTTCCTTGCTATTTGTTTTTGTATAACATTTTACCCTTTGCAGTAGGGCTGCATGCTCACCTTTATTCTTTTTATCTTGTACATGTATTTGGAATGTCTTACGCTTGTATATGACTTTGGAAAACTCAATAAAATGTTTGAACAAGCAGAACACCATGGAACACCCCAAGGAAGGAGGTGCTGGAGGGGAGGGGCAGAGACAGAAACTAAAGTTTGGTGATCCCAAAGAAAAATTAAAATCTAGTACAAGACTTGGCGCACAGTCACTTTTAGCACAACATATGATGTTTAAATTAAATTGAGAAAATGCGCTGTGCATCTGCTTTTTTCAGATACTAGGAGGGGATTGTCACAATGAGCCCATGGACAGGAACTGAATATTCTCATAGGACGGGGATAAGTACATTTCATGTTGCTCCAGGCAGTACAACAGACAACTTACTAGGTGCTACAGACGCCACGATGGACATCACCAGGAAAATCTGGCTCAACATCTGGAGAGTAGGAAGAAACGCCACATATTACATGTACAATGAAGATAGGAAAATACATTTTGCCATTATTCAGAGATAACAAAAAATCAGCAAATTTTTTTCTTCAGTTTTTAGAGATGAAAATTACAGGTTTGATAGTCATAACAGTAATAGTAATGATGTTTCACTTAAGGCACCTCTGTGGTTGATTGAAAACCAGGTATAAAAGAGACTAGAGAAACTTAATGTGAACAGATCACAATGTTCAAATGTCTTACACCCATGAGTCCTTAGGGAACTTAGACTTACTAACTGAAATGGTACCAAATGATTTTTGTAAATGTTACCAAAATAAAAGGATCAAGATATTTTCCAAGAAACTACAAACCAATCAGCCTAACATCAATAGTATGTAAAATATTTGAGGGAATGATAAGGGACTTTATACATAAATGTATCTGCAACAACAGTATCATAACTGACAACCGGCATGGATTTACTGAACACCGTTCTTGTCAGACCAACCTGTTATCATTCTATGAGGAAGTAAGTGAGAAATTGGAAGTGGAAGTCTAGTGGATGTAGTTTATCTGGATATTTTTAAGGCATTTGTTACTGCACCTCATCATCCCAGGAGCCCAGATCCAAATCAAAGGGTTTCAGGATGGTGAGCAGAAGGAAACTTAGGAACACCTTGATCTGCTCTGCAGTAAATGAAGCTGAATGCACCCAACTCTGAGCATTACCAGTTTTCAGCGCTGTCATTTCCCAGCTTTTACAGTCAGGGATGCAGCTAATTAAACATAATCTGTGAAGGGCAAGGGACACAGTGGGGGTCCGATGTCTCCATAAAGAGCACCTGTCAACTGGCAAATGCTATCACATGGGGGCTTGTTAATCCCCATGTGATAGAATTAAAGTTAAATAATAAAAAAAATAAATAAAATAATTCTAAAAAATTTCCCCTGTTGCCTTGCACACACCCGCAAATGCAAACATGAATAAAGGTTGTGTCTATGTATGTAAATGGT